CCGTGCCCCCTTATCCGATTACGCCCGGAGTCATGGCTATGACGTTGTCAGTATGCGTTTCTCTCTCAAGGAACTGGATTTATATACTTGTAGGGAAGCAAAATGTTTTATTCAACGCAGCACCATGTTTTTAGACATGTGAAACGTCTGCATATATAGAATCCACGTTTATTTAAATAATTGATATTTAATTTCTTCAAATGTATTTCTGTAATCCTGAGTGTGCCTGTACTTTGGCAGCTGCTGACAGATGCTCAGGAGGAACATACATGATATACAAGGCTAAATTCTCAAATGATGTATCTCAAGTCCAAAAGAGTACGTAAGGTTCAATGCCTTTTTTCAATCAATAAACATGTATAGATCAGTTATATCAAGGTAGTCAGTTTAATATGAGAGGAAATCCAAAATTTACACAGGACGTGGCATTGTGTCGACAAACCGACAAATACAATTATACGACCAACTGATCCTGGTACGCCAAGGGACGCAACTCTACACAGAGGCTTGAGTCGTTTAGGACCACCGTACCTCCAAAAACAGACCGGAAAGACATCGGGGTTCATCACCACGACACCGGGTGCCTTGGTGTTCATGTGCAGCAACAACACCGGGTGTCTTCAATCACATGCACTAACGTGACATCGGATGTTTGTTTTTTGCATCTATTTACTATCAGTTACTTATATGACACCGGGTGGCTTAATGACAATGTACTAACACCGGGTGCCTGGAAGAATTAGTGATTCTGACAACGCCGATGGTGTTTGAATACCGTTATCGTTCGCTGTGCAGGAGAACAGACGTTTACCCCGATGGCGTTGTTACATTTAGACGTCATCGTTCCGTGACACCCGGGAAAGCTGGTGGGTTAAGTGGACGATGCACAACGCCTTAGCACGACCGCGGCTGTGTCCCTACGGCGTTAGGCCCTATTGATGGCATGGAATCGATACGGACAACATTTTTACAAACATGCAAATGGTCGTATTTCCGGCTTTGTGTGGACGCATGATTGTGCTCACAGTGCTAGACCGGTTTATGAACGTGAAGTTTCACTCGGTACTTTTCGTCAGTGATCGTTATTGATTCTCAACACGTGTCCTGGCAGTTCCCATTGTAATATGGGTCACAGATACCTAGAGTGGGGTGTTTTCATCAAGCTCTCGGGTACTCGCTAGGGTGGTTCTCGTGTCTCGTGAGATGATTTGTATTATTATAAGATTGTAAACTGATAATGAGTGTTTCCTGAAACCAGATATTTTATTTGGCAGTACCAAGATTCGTATATTTGAACGTTAATTCAAGGTCGATATTCAAATACGTGCATAATATTGCCGTGATACATTAATCGCTTATCATGGTCACTCTTTTGTTCATACATTCATAGTGAGACCATGATTTATATTTGTTTTATTTTTTGTTGTTGTTTAACGCCGCACTAAGCAATATTCCAGCTATATGACGGCGGTCTGTAAAATAATCGAGTCTGGACCAGACAATCCAGTGATTGAGATCATGAACATCGATCCACGCAATTAGGATACGATGACATGTATCAACCAAGTCAGCGAGCCTGACCTCCCGATCCCGTTTGTCGCCTTCGTCAAGCATGGGTTCCTGAAGACCTATTCATACCCGGTATAGGTTTACATATGGTCAATCCTAATTGGCCATTCTCATCTTTCCATGTGATGATTGAGAACTAATTAAAAAATGTCCAGCAGTCAAATGACATTCTATACATAAATAGTTCCAGGAATAAGTGGATTGTTTTGGATTGGATTGAAATTATTCCATGTTACATGTTTTGTACATGTTCTTACTGAACATCAGGAACTGGGAGGAACGTCCTTTCGGAAATAACGTACCTGGCATGGTTAGCAAGTGTGCTGAAGTATGGTATTAAAGCCTTTTCTCAGTGTTAAATGCACGTGGAATGACGAACAACAAGATTAGGACACTAATCTGAAGAGAAATCAATAGATACTTTATTTATAGTCATAGAAACAACGCATGTATAAAATCGCATTACACGAACTAGGAATGTTGTGGTGGAACGCTTCTGTGGTGAAGTGGATAGAGCATCCGTCCGGAGAGCAAATGGTGGGTTCGATCTCCTGGTCCCGTCATGCCAAAAGATAATTTCCGTCTAATGGTATGAAATGAGATATCCTGTTCTTGAGATATCTGAATTTCTGTTTCTGAGACCAATTTGGTGTGTGCAGCGGACAAAGAGCCGGAGAGGGGACGGTCGGGGGTCCGATCCCCCTGTACGCGTTGTACCAAAATATGGATCTTGTTGTTACCCCGCCTTGCGCTTGTCATTAAGTGGATAAAGACAAGTGCTGGTCAGCTCGGAGTCAGTATACGTGTTAAGTCGATAGCACTATAAGTCCCGACTAAAATAGTCAACAACACACACGTGCTTACACGTTGATATAGAAATAAAATATTCTCGAACGCAACGCTAAACCCAATTTCATCTCACCACAAACACTGCTGGTGTCATCACTGTGGAAGGCACCCGTAAAGATCCGGGGTAGATTAGGTCATCAGCATCCCATGTTTGCCGTAAAAGGCGACTAACGGGATCTGGTGGTCAGGCTCGCTGACTTGGTTGATGCATGTCATCGTATCCCAATTGCGTGGATCGATCATGATGAGAATCACTGGATTTTCGGGTCCAGACTTGATTATTTACAGACCGCCGTCATATGGGTGGAATATTGCTGAGTGCGGCCTTAAACAACAAACAAACCAAACAAACAAACAAACACTGTGGAAGGAATATATCAATCCCAGTAAAAACACTGTGCCTTTTATACTGAAGGATGCTATTGAATTGTCGACACACGCTAACACATGAAACAGAACGAAGAACATAATCTTTGAGTGGTTGGATTCGTCATTATAAACGGAAAGCCTGCTTAACTCTATTCCTGAATATTATTAAACATGAAAACGTTCTTCTGCATGTGTTGACAATCAGAATTCTACAACCACGGCACGGACGATGCTGGTGTAAAGGGGACCTCTGTATGTATTGATTGTCCCGCGGTGATATTTATATAACCTGACATTGTGACAATGACGGCGCGTACATGTAGCGCTTGTTTGCAGGAACATAGTCTAGCGGGACTTTCAGTGGCACGCCGATGGCATATTTTATTCATGGAATCATGAATTCCTCGTTGTGTCAAGAGTGTTGAAGTGATTTAAACAGGGTCATGAGATATAGTCATCTCGTTACAGATAAACCTTTGATTTTCAAGAACATAATTCCTGCGATAACTTGGCTCAAAGTTCAAGGCAAACAGCTGGACAATAAAAAAACACCAAGGAGTGACGCTATAGTTTGCTTAGCAATATTCATTGACATTTTGTGCGCGTACCGACTGTAAGTAGAAACAGCACCTACTGGTTTTGTTTGACATTTCCATGATCAGCTGTGAATAAAATATGAATTATTTATTAATACAAAAATAAGTGTATACATGTAAATTTAATAGGCGCGTAGGAGATATCTATAGGAGAAATGACATTTTACATTGCTGCGAACGATACGAAAGATGTTTTTTAATAAAAAGTTGTGTTTGTTGCTCGCAAGGTTGGGGGCGTTGGGTAGCCACATGGTTAAAGCGTTCACTTGTCACGCGAAGGCGAGGGTTCCATTCCTCACACGGGTACATTGGGTGGAATAGGTCTTCAGCAACCCATGCTTGTCGTAAAAGGCGACTATGCTTGTCGTAAGAGGCGACTAACGGGATCGGGTGGTCAGGTTCGCTGACTTGGTTGATGCATGTCATCAATCCTAATTGCGTGGATCGATGCTCATGATATCAATCACTGGATTGCCTGGTCCAGACTCGAATATATACAGACCGCCGTCATATAGCTGGAATATTGCTGAGCTCGGCGTTAAACAACAAACCAAACCAAACCAAACCAAAACATTGTGTGAAGCCCTGGTGTCCGACATCGTGATATTGCTAGATTATTGCTAAAAACGTCGTAAAACCATACTTACACACTCACTCGTAAGATTGCGTACACAAAGAGTAGAAAGATTTTAAAAATACAGACTAAACTTGTAAAATTGTATCTTCGACGTTTCCCGATTAAAAAGCCGTAACGTCAGTACCCGCAATGGACGGCTTGCATATCTGACTCACCATATATAGTCGGAAGAGAGAGATGTAAATGTCAAAATATTGACTCTTTTATACAGAAATATGTCAGTTTATTTTTGACATTCGCCTTGAGCCAAAACGACTTTTTCATGTAAAGGCAATGAAATAGTGCCTCGTGTGTCGAGAACATTGTTATGGCGTCAAGTTTTGAAAACAATCACTTAACCCCTCAGAAGGATTTGTTAGGGAACAGTCGCAGTGTGTTGGCACCAGGCGGCGCGCCAATAGGGAGACGACAGGGACACTGAGATGATAAGCCGATCCGAATAGATAGAATTTATCGAACGCATAGCGCATCAGCAGTTGCAGCCTTTACCGTTACTATTGTTGTCAATGATAGCCAAGCGTGATTGTTCCCAGAAATGCCGCCACTCATTGTTTACGACTGGCCGAGTTTTGCTCAACGATATTGCTTCAGATGGATTTCATTTTCCATTTGTGACAGCCATCTTTCTACTTGACTTGGTCGTTTGTGTCCAGAAGCACATGGCCCGCTTTTATACCTTGAATCCGAGCAATAAGCCCCGTAGCCATATTGTCACATTAATATCTGTAACAGAATCCGTTACCATATCCCTTACACTAATAACTCTCTCAATGCTTGATGACACTGGCTAATATGACGAGAAGAGACATTTCAATTCGATTCACACATATATACACAGTATCGATGAAACGGCGAACAGAGGCCGGAATGAATGAAGTTAAATATTTAATCAATGTGCTATATTTGCATTCGGCAGTGTTGAGTTCCAAGTGAATCGCTTCAAGAGAAGGATTTCAGTATTATTTACTCTTGCATGCAAAACTGTCCTTGTGTTTTCACAAACCAATCGGGCTCTTCACAAACGTTGGCTAATTACAAGTTAATGATGTGGCGAGTGCACTACCTTCTCGGCGGAAAAACAAGAGAAGGCCTGTAATGATAATGTATCGATCTATTATTTCGCCTACGAAAGACATTAACATTTTAGTGTTCATTTACAGTGTACGTATCCATATTCTCAGCTTGGATGACAGCGAATTATATCTACAGAAGCTACAAAGCTTGAAACCTCTGGACAACCTTTGACCTTTGTGACGTCACTACATCGCGTTCATCAGTTTATACATGCTTTTTCCGCGGAAGGCCCACCGCTTGAGAAGGAAGCTAGCGCGGGAAATATCAGCGAAGGTCTTGGCACAGTCTCCCTTTGGGTCGGCATTCGGTTTCATATTGCTTGGGTTGGCGTATCGCTGCTTCACACGGGGTTTATTCGTCTGCTTGTGTTAGCTGTGTCGTGCACGCGCACATTGTCGTCTGCTTGGAACGTTTGATTTACCAGACGACAGCATGGATTTCCCTGAAGAGACAGCTAAAGTGAACACTCACGTAAGTGTATCGCCCCAACCCGAAGGAACCACTGGACTTTTGGGGAACGTGAAAAGATGCGGCTTGAAATGCTTGAGGGGCTCCAAGGAAAATTTACTTTTAATTTTGCTACTGTGTTCTGTGCTCCTCGGAGTGGGGATCGGGTTTGCAGTTCGAAGTGCAAGACCCGATTTCTCGAAAAGAGAAATTATGTATTTGATGTTCCCTGGTGAAATTTTAATGCGAATGTTACGAATGTTGATTTTGCCGCTAATCATCTCCAGTTTGATTGCCGGAATTGCTGGATTGGACGCCAAAACATGCGGGAAAATGGGTCTTCGTACCATTGCATATTTCGCTACAACTACAGTCATATCCGTTATTATGGGTATCATTATGGCTATTGCTATTAGACCAGGAGGCGGGGCCAACCGGGCCAAACTTAAGAGGTACGGTACTGCGGCCAAGGTCAACTCCGTCGACACTTTTCTGGACCTCGTGAGGTAAGATCTGTTCAACTTTTTCCATCAAGTATATATATATATATATATATATATATATATATATATATATATATATATATATATATATATATTCTTTCACCAATTCAGTTTTCTCTGAATACATCCATACCTTGCTCACGAAGCATCCTTGGTACGTGCATGCTGCAATTACAACGAAGAACACCCAACACGGTGTAATCACAATATTTATTGTGGGGCCGACAAGGAAGTGATACATGTTTTTTTGTGAGACGCTAAACTGTATTGGTTCCTGTTTTCCAAACGCTCCACTCCTACCATCTGACATGAAGTTAAATTAATGTGTTTCTCAATGCGTTTGAATTTTCTAATTCTCACTTATTTTTGGACCTTAATTCTTTATTGTTGATGCACTTACATTTTAATGTCCGACCGACAATTTGTTCAAGTAGTCAAAGTTACTGGTTGTTCAAAGTCTGAATTAAAATTTGTTCAGTCTGTATGTATTTGTCAAATGATATTGTTTCTTAAAACCAGTTTCATTTAACGGTCAAAATGCAACTTTGTTGCATTGTCTGAACGACAATTTGATATTACTGCTTGAATATTTCTGTTAATCAGCCTCAATATCAAATTGCACAAATAGCCTGAATATTACATCGTTCATTCTGCATACAGAGCAAGTCGACCAGCCATGTTGGTTGTCAATTTGGGATACAATCGGATCTTGTATAACCTGGAAGTTTATTTGTTTATAAAGCCTGAATGTCAACATGTTTTTAATATATCTGAAGACAATTTCGTTCAATCAGAGTTTATTGGATAAAACGTAATGGCACTTCGTTCAGTCTGATTATTGGTTAATGCAATCTAAATGACGATTTGTTCAGTTTGAATGAATTATATAATACAACCTGAAAGATATTTTGTAGAGAGTGTATTGGATAATACAATCTAAATGCGAGTTTGCTGAGTCTGACTGTAAAGGTTCGTATAATCTAAATAAAAGTTTTTTTTAGTCTGACGTGGGCGGAAATAGGAGTGACAATTTGTTCAGTCCGATTAAATTAATTCATTTAATCTGAATGACACTTGGTTCAGTCTGGTTTGATTCATACAATCTAATTGACAAAATGTTAAGTCTAACTATTGTTCATACAGTCAAATAGAGAACTGGTTCAATCTGATTGTATTAGTTCATACAATCTGAATGACAGTTGGTTCTGTCTGACTGTACGACATTGTCATTTTCTGTTACCCAATATGCGATCTTTATAAAATGATTTTCTGAAACCTGAAGCTTGTCGGTACCATGTGAGGGTAAGAAAATATGGGGACAGGCCATGACTTTATCGGGCCACCCTGTTTACGTCATTTGGGACCGCATAAAGTCTATTTAAATAGTTTTCCAAATATGGCTCCATTACAATCTCTACGTCATATATTCATCTGTGACGTCAACATTCAAACTATAGGCGAACATCAATATTTTATTCACGGATTGTGTTAAGGGACAAATATCAATTTTGTCCCATGTCTCCCAGCATTAAAACCTATCTTATATTGACTGATTCAAATGACTAAAATGTTAAAATGGATTATATATGAACAGTAAAGATTAATAGTAATTTAATGTATTCCTACGTACACCCGTATATATATATATATATATATATATATATATATATATATATATATATATATATATATCCGTTAATCGTTCAACTTAGTATTTTGTCTATACGATTTAACAAGTACAAAAGGAAATACAGAACATTTTACAATTGTGTTCCGTGGCTGTTTTCATGTAAATAAATCAAATCACAATGATGAGCTATTGTACTACTGTTCTAACCAGGTTCTACGACAGGATCAGGTTGTGGTGACAGTCGTAGATCGCTATCAATGAGGGAAAAGGCGTGTTTTAAAACTCGCTTCACCTTCTCCAATTTCACCAAGCTTTGGAATGAAGCGATAAACTGAGGGGAATCACTTGACTTCAGTTTGGCAACTGCCCCATTTCTATGCAAATATTGGAATACAGCCAAGCCAGTATTGTGTTCCATTGTTGTGTTCCTTGTGGTAACAGTGTCATTGACATTTATGTTACACGTTTGCAACCACTGAGCTGATCATCACCGACAAATACAGGAAGTTAGCATCTGTTGCAGTGAGATGATATGAATGATTGAGCAAATCTCAGTCATTTGAAAGTAATGGCAGTCATATGTCAACCATGTGTCAAATGTTGCAGTCATTTGAAGAATTAAGTAATTGATTGCATTAGAATCATTTGAAGATATTTGCGATGTTTACGAACCCATGGTGTCAGAGCTGATTTTCAGTTATCCTTTCATCAAATTTTCACCGCTATTTTGCCTTTCACGCCCATGGAATGTTTCGGCAGATTATCGAAACTGATTATTTTCTGGCTTTGGAGCTTTATATTTACTCATCATTATCAATCACGTGCCATTATTTGCGGTCATTGGCTGGCATTTGTCATTGCTGGAAATCATAGACAATCCTAACAGTCATGGATCATTGTTTACAAGCAGTCGTTTGCAGTCATGTGTCATTGTTGGCAATCATGTGACAATCCTAACAGTCATGTATCATTGTTTACAAGCAGTCGTTTGCAGTCATGTGTCATTGTTGGCAACCATGTGACAATCCTTACAGTCATGTATCATTGTTGACAAGCAGTCGTTTGCAGTCATGTGTCATTGTTGGCAATCATGTGACAATCATGTGTAATTGTTGACAATCATGTGACAATCTTTACAGTCATGTATCATTGTTTACAAGCAGTCGTTAGCAGTCACGTGTCATTGTTGGCAATCATGTGACAATCATGTGTAATTGTTGGCAATCATATGACAATCCTTACAGTCATGTATCATTGTTTACAAGCAGTCGTTAGCAGTCATGTGTCATTGTTGGCAATCATGTGACAATCATGTGTAATTGTTGACAATCATGTGACAATCCAAACAGTCATTTATCATTGTTTACAAGCAGTCGTTTGCAGTCATGTGTCATTGTTGGCAATCATGTGACAATCATGTGTAATTGTTGGCAATCATATGACAATCCTTACAGTCATGTATCATTGTTTACAAGCAGTCGTTAGCAGTCATGTGTCATTGTTGGCAATCATGTGACAATCATGTGTAATTGTTGACAATCATGTGACAATCCAAACAGTCATTTATCATTGTTTACAAGCAGTCGTTTGCAGTCATGTGTCATTGTTGGCAATCATGTGACAATCATGTGTAATTGTTGACAATCATGTGACAATCCTTGCAGTCATGTATCATTGTTTACAAGCAGTCGTTTGCAGTCATGTGTCATTGTTGGCAATCATGTGACAATCATGTGTAATTGTTGACAATCATGTGACAATCATTACAGTCATGTATCATTGTTTACAAGCAGTCGTTAGGAGTCATGTGTCAGTGCATACAATCATTGCCAATCATGTGTATTTGTCTCACTTCATGGTGTTCAGTTTTCAATGTGTGGTAATATTTGCAGCATCCAGCAATCTTCCTAAACGTGTGCAAACGCTCCAAATTATGTTTGAATACTTGATCATTAGATACGTAGGAATGAAATTCTTATATTACTGAAACAATTGTGCAGTCTAATAAGTGATGTTAATGCGTGAGCATTACGGGTTAGGATTAGTCCTCGACAGCCTCTGCTGATCGTAAGTGGCGACCAAATGGTACGGGTGGTTAGGTAAGGCCAAATGGTTGATCGTGTGTCATCGTACTTCGACAGGGTGGATCGGTGCTCATAATATCAACCACTGGATTGTCTCGATTATTAGTCTGCCGTCATAAAAGCTGGAATATTGTGAGCGGCGTTTTAAAAACAAACACACACTGGAAACGTAATGTTTAATTAATGTTAAATAGTCTGTGTGGTTTGAATATAATTATTGGTAATCTATTCACAAAAAAATGTGAAATTGAATTTATGTGTATCATTTTCACTCTGTATTATCTGAAATGTAAAGTCGTGAATTTACATCGTATTTAGGAAACTAATGAATGACTGGAAATCCTTTGAACATGAGTGATATTGTAGTGAATGGATCAATTATTTGTTGGAATGCGTGGAAACAGCAACAAGTAATTAGGTCACACCTGATGTTTGTTGGCATTGTCATTAGGAGGTTCACTAATCAACACGATCGTTTCAAGCTGTCAACACATCAATCAGAACACACGTGGTGTGCCATATTCCCAGTGCAGATAATACCTCTGTTCGTGCACTGGTGTGGCCATTACCCTACACCAACACAGAATCTGCCTTGTATCACAGGGGCAGTAAATTTAACTAAACAAATCGGTAGATAGGAACCGGATTCATGATTAACGGATCTTGGCATGGCTAAATGACGGGCGGATTCCTTTACTACGTCATGCTTCGACACGTGTCCCATATATATCATGGAAGCATGGTTGGCCCAGTCGTCTAAGCTACCGGAAAAAAATCGCAGTTTAGAGTTACGTCCCTTTGGTGTGTCAGGATCATGTGACCATGGATTCGACCAAGATTCGTTATGATTATAATTCTTGTTCTTCCATACTCTTCCCAGCGGGTTTTACCAGAGTGATAGACGTGTACATGCACCGACTCCATTCAATATAAAGCTGATACCCTTAATTAAATGTTGTCAGACAAACAGAAAAGGACACACAACTGGATAAATTTTCACTTTACCAAATAATTGTGATAACAGACGCACCGAGTCATCATTATTGCGATGTGCATAATGTGTGAGACAGTCTCTGAAATGAACATATCGTACAGAAAAACAGTTGTTCAGTTATCTTAATAAAAATATAATAAAAGGGAGCCCAGTGACTCTCTTCATTTTCAGATACTGCAGTAACCTAGACTTGCCAAATATTATAGACTTGCATGGGCTGTTTTTTATATATATTTGTATCAGGGTCTGTAAGACAGACTAAATATGTGTTTGGGATCTGTTTCCAATACAAATT